GGCAACGCGTGCATTTAAACTCATTGCAGTTGATTTCGGTAAATCACAATCCGATAAGTCTCTCTCTCTGTTGTACGTTCTACAAATCGTGACCTCTGAAGTCTTCCACAACAATGTGCATCCTTTATAATAATGCGACTGCGTTAATCGATTGCCACTATTCATTGTAGTATATTTTCGCTGCAGTTTTTCTTAAGTCTTCTCTACATTGAAATGCGTTCACCAGACGTTTTCATGCTGATCAAGTCTCAACTAAAATTATCACTTGGATCGTTAACTGTATGTTTACACAACAACTGCGCACCAGGCTACTTACTCATAGTGAGGTTCAAAAATGACTATTAGTGCCGTTGTTCGCCATCTCATTTGTGAGTAACATGAAAATTAAATCTCAAATCCATTGGCTATCGAGACAAGCAAGTGTTCAACTGCATAATCGCCACTGGGGACCATTTTGGTATGAACTCTTTGGTCGCTTGTTGGTTTAACCTTTCTGATTCGGTCCGGTTGTGACCTGAAAGTTCCTTGGTTTGACCGATGTTTTCTGCGAAGATCGATTAGTTTGAGTGTGAGGACATACTTGGTCATTTGTTTAAGTTTTGCAGTCGCCGAATTGTCAACATCATTTACAAATCCCTTCGGTCGGATCGGCATTGTATTACGTCACAATATTCTCATTCACGATGTCGGCTAAATTTATTTGGAAAGCTCTTTCAGGACCAGTCCATGGATGAATCAATATTACGGTTCGATATTGATAGGTGGGTAAGATGCTACTAACTACGTATTGGAGTTAATAAAGGACGAATTTTCACAGCATTTGCTAACAGTTTTTTCATTTAAATCTTTTTATCGTTATTAGTTTTAATTCTCTCATCTCCAGCTCCTATATTTATAACTGAAATGTAAGCTTTATGCCTACAGAAGTTATTACAATAACAATCAGTTTCAGTTTTACAACCATTAACCATGCACTTTCGTGCGCCGGTTTTGGTTGCCCATTTAGATAAAATAGCGAAATGAAGATTGGAATGTCGGGGCAAATTCAAGCAGAAGATGGGGAATACATATAGAGTGGTGTTAGGAAAATAACGAGTGGATGCACGAGCGCCACTGTTTGCGACACCCAGCCATATCACTCAGTGTAGCTTACCATCGGTGACAATCATCCTGAGGTCCCCAGCCAGGGTGCCTAACGAGGCCTATGTGACCTAGTCTCCTGGTTAGGGTTTTCATACCCTCATGCCACAACTTAAGCGTTTTTGTGGAATATTTTACATTATGGATAACTGGCAAAATTTTCCTGAAAGAGCACGCCCGGCTTCGCGTTTTTTTCTCTCGTCAGGCACATCCGGTAGTCTGTCTTTTTATTCATCTGCTTGCCCCCAGAAAGTGTATTTTTGTCACAATAATCTCATTTGCAACACCAAGTGAATTTGTTTGGACCAATCCAGGCTGTGTCGAAGAAATCGTAGTACAATAATATTTATAAAAATAAAAACGTTCCATTATTTTGCTTATGGCTGTGAAACGGCTAGACTAACCAAGTCAAAGCAAGCTAATTTCTTGAGGAATTCGCTACCGGAGTTCTCGGCTAGCCAAAATCTGACACTCAAGACAGCGGGGTGCTCTGCGAATACGGCGGTCCATTGGGGTCCGATTTCCAGTGCATCAAATCTGGATGGAGTGAAACGTTCTAGGTTTCCAATCGAGCCGATGACCACTGCTTCAACCGGAGAGGTATGATGTGTGGTTCATACGCCTGTTCTTGGTTGGTTTAGAATCAGGGTTTCTAACCGTCTATCCTAGGTGAACTGCTAATGTTTTAACAACTCGGATGTTGGCTTTAAATCTCACTTTGGCGGCAAAAT